CTCAAAGAAAATGTTTCAGTGTTCCCCTAAAAACGTGCAAGTGTATGCCTGTAATGTCGTACGAAAAGCGTACAAACTTCTGAGAAGCTTCTATCACAAATGTTTGAAAAAGTTGCAATCACTTGTCGAACAATCCTCTAGAAGGATAAGGGATGGGCTTCTGTTTTGGCGTTTGGCCCCAAATTTGGCGTTTTTTGGTTTCGTAAACAGCCTAGAAACAGCCTAAACTGCCTAGAGCTACCTTGGGACAACTTCGCATACTTCTGATCAATATATCTGTCATTTTAACATATAGCTATTATAATATTTTAATGTATCAATATATCGTTACCATAAAATATTATGGAAACATATTAATGTGTCATCAAAACTCAGTGGGCATCTCTAAAAGCGTGTTTAAATTCTAAATTTTCTCCTGAATTTATAGGCTCAACGAAGAAAGAAGGGAGTTGCTAGAACATCTCGTCTTTGCTGCTCGTCATTATTTCGAATCTACAATCAAAGTGCAACGACTCCAATTTTTACAATTAAATCAGTGAGCGAGGTTTCCTAAACTATTTGCCATAGCTAGTGAGACTCTTCCTATGTTCATAAGGGGGACCAGTGGGAGCAATTGATCCTTGTTCGACAACGATGGGGCTACCGTGAGTTGTTTTTTCTAGGTTTGAGGCTGTGCGAGTTCTGATATCGTATTACGGTTCTCGCAACACATATGGCATTCAAACTCTAGAAGGGGAAAATCCCCAATTAGTGGAGGAACTCGCGAGCGGTCATTCTTCACGCAAGGGGACTGGGATGATCTCGCAACCACCGCCTAATAAGATTGTTAAGTGTGCTTCACAAACTGTTCACTTAGATCAATCTAACCCGCATATCGCTAACGTTGGGTGAAGCTCCACCTGTAGAGCAGGCCATATTCCAGAAGAGATTCAGTTGCTTAAACCACATCTCAGTGGTCGCAGTGGTCAGCGAAGTGTGCATTCGTGCGGACAGGCACCGCTTTGTAGATAACATCATTCGCTTTTCAAACAGCATTATGAAAGCTGAGGATATGCTTGCCGAGCTCAATAAAGCAGGAGAGAAGGTAGGGCTGCGGATCAACCAAAGAAAGACAGAGTTCACATAAAGTGCTTGGGCTGACGAAGGTTAAATTAAGATCGATGGTACACCTATCAAAGAGACCTCATTTTACGTTCATCTCGGGCGTTCCATGAATATGGACAACAACATGAGAAAAGAACTGAGATGGCAGAGAGCACGTGGGCAGCCTTCGGATCTCTGCCTGCGCTCTGTTAGTCGGAGACTTGGGTTATCAGTACAACAACGTCAAGAGCTTTGAGCACAAGTTACAGAGGGCTCGAGCGATGTCTTTTGAAGTTCAACAGGCTCACTCAGTATCGAGCAAGGCTCCACAGCTTCGACAAACGCAGGATGTCTCGACTTCGCGATTCCGTGGACTACATGAGAAACACAAATTCTGGCCGATAGGTCGTGGGCCGATCACATAATGAGAAAAGATGATGACAAATGGACAAGGAGAACAGTTCAGTTTGCTTCCGTAGGATCTTCATGATTTTAGGGT